CTATGTGGTGCATGAATATGTTAGCGTAGTTTGGGGCCATTCTTGTACCATTGCCGTACCACTGATTTGAAGATAGTACTGGTTGTTAAATTCAAAGCTGTTCAAATCGAGTACAAGTCTTGTGAGGATTTCAATTACTTTTTTGCTTGGATAAGCGACGGGTTGTGTGTGCCATACGATTCAACAAGCGCCCTTACACCATCGTCATGTGGGATATTTGTGTAGAGTGAGCTAACATCCAATGTTACGAGAAATGCACCGTCTGGAATTTTCACGTCTGCTATTTCCCGAAGGAAGTGGTTTGTGTCACGCAAGAAGGACTCATGTGTGGGTGGTATGTCTTTGATGAAAGAATCAATAACTGGAAATGGGTTCCGTTAACGTTCCCGTGCCTGATATAATGGGTCTGCCAGGGTTATTCTCTTTATGAATCTTCGGCAGCATGTAAAAACGACCAGGGCGCCGAATGTACCGTAATAAGTGCCTTTTAAGCTTTGAAATAATGCGCCTTCACGTGTGAGATCCTCTAGGGTTGTTACAATGATCTTTTGTGCTCCGTGGTAGGGTCAAAGTCGAGGTGTTTGTAGAATTGTTGTTATTTGGTTGTCGCTTTCCTTCCTCAATGTAGTCCGATCTATTCAGAACAACAATCGCGCCTCCTTGTCTGCTGGTTTAATGACGAGATCTTCGCAGTTGCTCAACGTGAGTAGTGCCTCTTTTTCTCTTTTTGATATGTTATTCATGCTTGGTTTGTGCACTTGTACGCATGTATAACATCTTTTTGAACCGCGTCTATATAGAGATCCAGATGTCGATCTCTGTTGGCGTCTGGGGTCCATTGCCGTCCGATTACCCCACGAAAAAGTGCGTTACCTTTTTCGGGTTTATCAAAATAATATTCCTCCGAATCGTAAATTTCGTGCGAAGTTGTCTAGGTCTTTTAGGAGCGTGAATTCATCATAATTCCGTTGCCAGGGCAGAATGTAAGTCTGCGTGATAGTATACTCAATTCTTCTTTGCTAAGTTCTTTGTCGGAAAGGTTAATAACGTTTGGCTCTTTGGGGTTTGGTGGCAAATTTTTTGAACGTGAGATGATTTGGTATTTTTCTGTAAGGAGCAGTGGGTATAGCTTGTGACACATTGTCCCGCGCAAATTTCTTCCTCTTAAGTTTTTCAATTTCTTCCGTTTTTTTGTGCTCAAATACGTCTAGTTCTTTAGCTTCCCACTCCGAAAGAGAAAAGTTATTTCTAATACCGCTCCTCGTCTGTCAGTGCGTTTAGAGTCTTTCTACAGTGTTCCATGGTGACCTTCGTTAGCTCCTGTGTGGCGTGATCGAGAATTTCATTCCACCGTTTTCATTTCCCCTTCGGCAAAGTTATGCATCGATGGTGTTAGCGACAAGCGCAGCCCCTTCGGAGCCGTACCCGCCAGTACATATTGTTCGAGGCTTTGCACGTGAAGTTCGTGCCGTATTCTTTTGTCAACCACTTTTCTAAGTTTAAGAAAATTTGGACCCGTTCTATGGCCTAGTTCATCTGAAACGGACGGTGTTTGCCCACTCGCACAGCCAGTATGTCACTTTGCACAGACGCGGCGAATAGAGCCGCAAGGTGCCCGGAGGCATAGTCCGTGATCTCCGGTGGCCATTGCTCCTGCATTGCTAGATTTCTAGCGAAGTGTGTGTGTAAGTACTTCAACGCTGTCACCTGCGCACATTGCTAGCTTTTTAGCGAAGTGCGGAAGTACTTCAGCGCTGTCAGACCATGTCAGTCGGAAAAGCAGGCAAATTGTTCGACAGTTTAATATAGTTAGGTGGACTAATGAGGTTAGCTGTGGGCATCATTTTTAATGCTGATTGCCGTGAGCAACACTGTGACACGTCAATAGTTCGCAGCACTTAGTCTGCCAATTACTGCCTCGTGTTCTAAGGAATTACAAAGAAGCCGATTTACACCTACCTATAATACAACCTCGTCAAGCAGTAAATTCAAGCGGTTACGGTACACTGATTGGAAGAGCAAGTTTTCGTGCTGCGTATTCATTGCGCCTACTATATGAGGCGGAGCGAAATGATGGCAAGAAACTGGTGGAACCCTATTTTTTTGTGGGGGGGGGGGGGGCGGACAGCCTTAACGATTTCTCCGTGTGTTCGCGTGTGTCTAGGCTGTATGGTCTCCATACGTGGGCTGAATTAAGGTGGTTTCAAACAATATACCTACCTGCTGCTACAATAGCGTTCTTATATAGCTGGTGATAAGACCCATTTATTGTTTTTTTTGTTCCATTTAAATTTTTATCTTTGTTTCTACCTTTTTCTTTCCTACCTTTGTTCTCGCTGTCTCTCCTATTTCTCACTTTCTTCATTTTCTTTCCACGTTTTCCTCTATTTTGTTCTCTTTCCTTGGTTCTCTCTTTTTGCAATGATTTTCGTTTTTTTTATATCCTTCGTCCTGGCTCTGTTTCTTTCAGTCTCCCAGTTACTTTTCTCCTCACACCCATCAGCTTTATTACAGGCCACACTGGAGAAATCGGCGTAGGTGTAGGAGGCATTGGTTTTGGTAGCGAAGCAGAAGATGAAGAGCACTGAGAGATTAAAAAGGACGAGGAGAGCGCGTACCAATTTATGTTGATGATCATTTCGAAAGTTCACATTAGCACTGTTAATTCACTCCAACAATTCTATAATTCAATAGTCCATGTGATTAATTTAGATATCAATAGTTTCTTGGCCAATCTCTAAGAGGTGTGAGCCAATCATTAAAGATTTCATCATTTCTGTTCGCTCTGCCTGGCACAACGAAAAGCCTAAAGGAGTACCGACACGATTTGAGGTGCAGCAAAACAGACGTTTTTAGTTTTCTTGACATGCAGTGCTAACGCTTTCCCGAACAGGAGCTGGGAAACACTTATAAAATATGTCACTTTGATTTTAAAGTTGTCACCTTTCAGCAAACGCGTCAGTCATGAAGAACTTTATATACGGTCCTGAGGAGTTTAAGCTTTAGCCACCAGGGTGTCCACGAGGGACTCCAGATATTTTTATGGGGGGAAGGGGGGGGGGCACCGTCTTTATTTCTGGAAGAGCACCCCTTTGAAATAGTCATTTTTCTCTCTGTTATGGCGAACAAAATTCGGAGGGGAGGGGCAGCACGGGCTCAATGTGCCACCTCCTGGCTATGCCCATGCCTCCCAGCATGTGCAAAGCAGCTCCACCACCATCATAGTGTTATGCCGTTTCGAAATAGCTCAGTAGGTTGTGAAATCTGCGTCCAGCATGCAGCCTAAATTGCAGAAATCACTTTTTGGGGGTGCTGGACAGCTGTTCACTCATCATGAACCACGTGTGACTGACAGCAAAGGACAGCAGGTGCATCTTTCACGAGTTGCACTTTGCCCGTGACGTCACGGGAGACTTACACGTCACAGCAAAGCCTACCTTTGATACCGAAACCAAAATAAGTTTTAATGTGGTGGATTAAATATATTCAATGTATTCAGGCACCCCAGCATTCTTTTAGTGTTGTCGACACCCGTGTTTTCATTTATAGTGTAATGTGTAAACTATAGTAACGTTACATTGAACTTATGCATAGTGTTTTGAGAGAGAACATACCTTTGGACTCTCTCCAACATTTTTTCGCATCAAAGGGCAGCCATGCCCTGCACGCTCGTCTAATCCAAGATGAACACCTCATTCTAGCTTGTATTGAAGCCCTTGAATGAAAGCTGGTGTTGCATACATAATTCTAAGAAATTGTTAGTGTGTTTATTGTTACTTTGATCAGAGGACATATATGTTTCCTTCTTGAGGTTGAATAAACATTCTGGATTTACTGACTTGAATTCTGGATGTGGTCAACCTTGTATGTTTGCTCAAACGGGGCAGTACGGTGGTTAAAATAAATTAAGGCAGGTTTGCACTAGTGGTTTCAAGAAGCCTGAAGAAAGAGGGGAAGTCTGCCTTGTTTCTCTTGAGCTATCTTTTTGCTGTTCTCTTTCTTTTTAGTTTTTTTTCTGTCTTTATTGCTCCTCTAATTATCTATTTCCCTTGCCCTTTCTACCTTTCTCTTTTTCCATCTCTTTCTAATTCTCGCTTGCTACCTCTTTCTAATTGTACGCCAAGCGACGACCACACGGCCCCTAAAGTGCTCCACACTAAAAAACCTTCAGCGTGCACTATTTCGTGCTATCATGTACAGCAGCACTAACGCCACGCATGCTAATTTTATGGTCACACATGTAAGTCTATGCATATTACGTACGCTTGAACATTACATGTCAATTTATTTCCAAGCTCTTTCTAGATTTTACATGCCAGAATAAATTTAGCATTATAAAGTCATCTTAAGGGGTTTTAGAAGACAGAAAGTTCGCGATGCATTTGATGTTGTGAGCACGTATAGGCGACATCATTTGCAACGTCTGGTTTTTGTCTAAGGGAGAAGTGTATGCGACGTTAATAATACGTCAGCTCTCTATACTGTAAGAGGTACATTATGGGGATGTTAATTAGATGTTATCGATAGACATAGACGTATGGATCTATTTCTACGTTGCCAGGATATCGGTGGTTCACTGGGACCTGCGAGGAGTGCGGAGAAGGCGTGATGCAACACTGGACCTCCGACGTTCTAACCAGCACACACAGTTTGAACAACCAGAAAGCAGCACTTGTGAGAGCGCCGTCGGTGGAGAGGCAGTTAGAAGAGCTCTTGACAATACTACAAACAGAGGAAAGAGAATTAAGGAGGCACTGACATCACCTACTTTTGTAGTACTGTTTTCTTTATTTCCTTAATATTATTTATCAACACAAGGGTGTTAGTTAAGCGTACCAAAAGGTGTACCTATTGCATCAAACATTTTTCTTGAAGCTTCAAGTGGCACTCTCTCAGCTCCATTTCTTCAGCGTGCGCAGCTCTGAGGAGGTGGTGCCACGCCTCCTTTTAGTTGCATTGCGCCGTAGCTGGATGTGGAACGAACAGCCGATGGTTCCTCTTCAGCTGCTTCGGGCGGTGGATCTTAAGAGATTCCCGTGCTTTCGCTTACTTCAGGGCTACTATGTTCATTGTTCTGGCGACCACTGCACACCATACCGCTGATGAGCTGCGTAAAAAGAAAAAGAAAAACAGGAAAACAGCAATGACGTGCGCTGGCTGGTCAAAACTCAATAAAAATGTTTCTAAAAACAATGCTACTAAAATTGTATGTCTCGCACATTATTTCTGTTCATTTGAAAATATCTCGTATACACCCTTTCAATCTTTAACTCGCGAGCATGAGGGCTACATCAGCACACTTTTGTTGCCATGGAATATCTAAACAAAAAAAAGTATTTCACATACCTCTTCCACAGTGGTGCCTTCCTCTCCGCAGCTTGTCTCTTGCACAAGACTCGCGTCGTTTACCGGGAGGCATCCCAAGAAAGAATGAATTTTTTGGGAATAGGGCTATTTAACTGATGCTGAGCCAGTCGTCTGTCCCGTCTTTACGTAGTGTCTGCACAAAGCATAAATGCATGCATAAAATGAAAAAGTAGGACGTAATTCTAGCGTATACACTGTAGTTTACATAAAGAGGTTTGTAGTACGTGCGCCTCACCAGATTTTGTCCCTTGAGCTGGGGCATATAGGCACGTACTCTAACCTCCCGAGACCAAGAATTTAGGGTCATATATTTTTGCTAAACTTTCAAAGGTGATTTTTCTTAGTGCTAAGGTGAGAAGTGTCACGTAGTTTTTCAAATGATAATGTTAATTGGCCGCAGCACGTTGTCCATTATATTGGATATTGGCACTCTTAGGAGACTGTTTTGGGTAACCGAAAGTAGGCCGTAGTTGAGGCCAGAGGAGGAGGACATATGGCATTACATATATACTTTTATTTACTGCTTTCAAACAAACTATAATTATTAATGGTAATATTTTCTGGGCCATGGCATCGTAACCTACAAGTGAAAATAAGTGATGCCAATATGTAATAATTATAACTGCAGCAAAACAAGTGCTGTTCTCTGTAGAGTGCCGAGAGAGCACATGAGCATACTGTCGTGTTTTTGTTGTCATTGTGACCCAACACCCATTATGTTGGACATTGTCAGATTCACTCTGCATAAAAAAAAATGTTTTCCCCAATTTGGATTTCTTTGCGTGCTTGAACCTTTTACGAACAGAAACTAATGCTTAGATACACTTAAGACATCCAAGAATGAATATAAACTCCTTTACTTCTTAGGCGGTAGCAGTAAAAGTTGTTCGTGCTCAGTCCCGTTATTTCGAGTGCTCCCAAGAAACCGAAAACAAACAGACTTCGACCATATTCACTACATGGCGGCACGGGTCCCACAAGCAGCCGAGAAACACTTTTTCAGGAGGAGGCAAGTGCTATGAAAGCCCTGGTGGGCTGTGTTACTATTTGTTTATTACATCAACAAACTTCCCATTGCTGGGTCTCAGAAAGCTAAATAGCACTGAACACGTCAATCACAAAAATCAGCGTACACTATTTCTATAGAGGCCTTTATCAGCAATGTTATTCATGCAAAGAACGCACGGACATGAAAAACTGTGAGCCACTACAAAGTAATTTCATAAATACACCATTTCACAGAGTATTTTGTGCACTTACCTGTATTGCTGTGTGAGATTTTTGATCTTCACTTTGATTTCTGACGGCCCCCGCTTGTAGCCGTCCAGTCGGAGCGAAGTGGGGATCTCCTTGTATACACCAGCGTTTCTCTATGGCGCCTCAAGCCTCCCAGTCTTTCCTGCCAGCAGTCAATTAATGTGGAGGTCCCTTCATTTGACCACGAAGTGCGCGTACGCTGCGATGTAGTCGAGAGGTTTACGACACTCATATTCAGTTTGCTTCGAGCTGCTCGAACAGCTCGGCGGTGTGGGTTGAAGCAAGAGCGGAAGGCAACGGTCGTCTGCTTCTCCCGTAACTACATGCTAACGAATGTTAAAATATGCAATATTTCAGACATTTTTCCCAATATAAACACTTTAAAATTGCTTTTCATAAACATTTAGCTGTTTTAAAATGTTTTTATTGAACTATGCTGGATTTTTTTTGTTTTTTTTGTGCTTTCAACAAGCTCGGTCAGGAGATGGAGACAACAGCAAAATCGCGATCTCTCATGCAGATCCCGATGAATGGATCGCGATAAACTTGATCCCGATCACGCCTTATCGTGATTAAATATGACAGTGTAGCACCACCTAATCCGGATTGTGGTTAGTCCGCATCAACATTGATCGCGATTAAAAGTGCCCGTGTGACACCGGTATAAGCTATGCAATAATTCAGAAAATGTGAAATGCATGCGTGAAGAGCTTAACACAAAATGCTTCATTGTAACGTGTCATACAAGAAAAGAAGCACAGCCACAGCTCTTTGGTCATTGATAATGAATTATTTATGCCCGGACTATAAAATATGCTGCTCAAGAACACTGCCTGTGTACTCCTTATAGCTTCGGCAGGGCTGCAAGGTAGTTGTGAGATGGAGTCTTGGCAGGACTATAAAATATGCTGCTCAAGAACACTGCCTGTGTACTCCTTATAGCTTCGGCAGGGCTGCAAGGTAGTTGTGAGATGGAGTCTTGGCAGGTAGCTTACCTTGGCAATGATTTCTTTTCAATTGGCTCCAGAGCCTTGAGTACTTCTTTGGGCGATATGCTGCCAGCTACAATCACACACAGATTCTCAGGACGGTAGAAGCTCTTGTGGTATGCTCTGACCTGTGCATCAGGAAAATAACATGCGGCAATTAGAGACACGATGCTAAACTCTGTTCCTTAAGGGGGCAGACTGGTCTTAGACATTTTTTTCTTTATTTCTTCAGTGATCTTTATCAAACTGCACAGGATTATACAGTTTTTTCTGCTGATTTCAAATATTTAATTAGTTTTCCTGTAACTTATTTTGTTCCTGCGATAACTTAAGTTCCCTCCCTATTGTTTAGGGCTGCCATAGCAAAACAAGTGCTCATTTAGAAGTGATATTTAGGATATGCCAACATAGACTAATGACTATAGATTCAAATTAAGCAAGACTTTTCTGTTTTTAGGCCTTTTTTGGTTATTTTACAGCAAAATGAACTAGCCATGTTCAAAAGCAGTAGAAATTGTGTTACAATTTTGATGAGTAATTAATTAAAAGGCTTGCGCTCTAAATTCTGCTCTTATACTTGCATTCTACACACATATAGGTTTCCATTGCAAAAAGAATTATTGTTATACCTGTCCTAGCTGCAGAGATATTAAAGCCTCAAAACTAAACAGTTGCAAATTCGCTTATTTGAGAAAAATGGAAAAAACTGAAAACACACAGCTTCTTCAAAAAGCAACAATCATGGTGTGCATGTTTTGAAATCCTCATAAAGGTGCTCATACATTGTAGCAGAGCTTCTAAAGAGGTGCTGGCAAGTTCTAAAGAAGCCTCAAAGTGTGTTCCCCACTTTTTTTACAGGTTCTGGACGTTAAGAGCACCAAGAATCTTGACACTTAGAATGACATTACAAAAAGATTACCACTTCCTGGTGTGTGAAAAATTGCAGAGATAGAAAAATACTAGCAGAAGCCAAATATGTCAATTTTAAGAAATTAATTTTTTTGTCACTTTTAGTCCTAAAAACCAGTCTGTCCCCTCAAAGATGCAGTTTAAAAAAAGTCAGATCACTCAAACACTGATAGCTCACGCCATATTGCCGCCAATCCCACATACAACACAACTCAGAGAGAAACTTTCAGCACCTAAAAACAGCTACAAGGGCCAGAGTAGGGACTAGTTAGTTATCCATAATTGACACTTGCGATGCGCTGTTTCAGCACACAGAAACACACACGAAAAATCGTGAGTAGAACACAACTCGAGCACAACAAGGGCTCATGTTTTGTTCTACCCGTGGGTTCGTGTCTTTTTTAGTGTTCAAGCAGCGCGCCGCATGTGTCAACTGTCCTAAAAACTATTTTAAATAACCGAAACGTTTGTTGCAAACTATGCAATAGCCATCCCCTTACCACATATACTTGTATAAGAATTGCACTCTCGATTTTTCACCAGTTTTACTATTTTTTTTCTTCACCCACTACACCACACCCAACAGTTATTATGAAGTTGTAATACAGAGCCACGGTACTCCACAATACATTCTGTGGATCAAGTGAATGCCCTCTACCTTCAGTGATTCCAGCACTTCTATTCACCAAGCACTGCGTTGGCAAACAGGTGCTGGAAAAAATAGAGGAAAAGAGTGATTCGACTGACTGCTCTGTAGAGAAGTGAACACTTTGCAGGTTATGCTAACACTTCATGTATTCTGATTGGTCAAGTACAATTGACATCAGCTTTGCTGATACTTTCTTTTCCTAGCTGCTTCGTTGATGCCATTGGTCGAAAAATGTGCGATCCCAAGCGTGTTCTCTGGTGATTCGCTGAACCAGTGTCACACAATGCAGCCACAGCTCTTTCAGTGAGAAAGGGTGTTGCACACTGAACTGTCACAATCGCACCAAAACAATAAAGCATTCTTTGCGGTGCCAAAATCGAAATGCACTATATGCCACAGGCTCCAGTGGCTGCTGCGTATGGGCCGTGAACAGTACCTTGTTGCAATATATGCAGCTTACGTCAGTGCATGTGTCGCCTGTATGAGACTCGTAACGCACCTAAATTTGTCTGCCATATCTAAAAACTAGAAATGAAGCTATATTGAAATAGTTGGAATTAACATGGTGATGAACCAGGGCGATGCAAATGATTCAAAACTGCATTGCTGGTGTCATTCACCTGAATTAAGGGGGCACGCGACCTATGAAAACGAAAAGATAGCGAAAAAGTCTATTTTTGGGAAGCCACATATTCGGGCAGTACGTGTCATAAACTACCTTTTCTGTAATATCAACGTCCAACTCATCGCGAAACTGTTTGAAATAAAGTTTACAAGAAGCTGCCGCAACCTTCAAGTGACACGGGAGCGCTCAAATTGGCCCCAACTTAGTGCGATCGCAGTTTCTCGACCGCTTGACAGAGCTTTGCCATTTTAGTGTTGTTTTGTTCGTGAATTCTTGCACTTTCTCTTCCTGCCACCAGCGCCGACGGCAGCAGCGCAGGAGACGAGAAAACTGCTCATGATTGGAGGACTCACGGGAGCTTTGAAGTTTCCCGCGGCAGAGGCGCGCCTCCGGGCGTGAACGATGAGCGCGCTCCTCAAGGACGAGAGAGATCCTACGACTGTGATTGACTGCTGCACGCAACGACGTAGTACTGTTACACATAATGCGGCTCTCTGTCATCTGATGCTCTTTCGTCCTCAGCATTTTCTTAGTGTTCCACCCGCTATCGTCCATCGTTGCAGCCGATCGCATACTCTCCGCGTTTCAAACTATTTACGAAACAATTTTCAAACGTTTTCACGAGACAATTTTCAACTGTATTTACGAGATCGTTGTTGCATTCGCTCACGATGCGTCTAACGAAAAGGAAGACTCAACAAGTGTTCGGTGCAAGAAAGTGATCTATGAAGGTTGTCCGCATGACGAGGCTCTCTGCTCACACGTGCGCAGATGATGATTGCACCGACAGTACACGTGGAGCAGCTTCTTCATCTACACAAAAGTGTGGTTGCATCAAGCCGCCTAGACACGAGACTCCTGCTCAACTGGTGCAAAAATTCGACATTGCAAGTGCACCTGGTGTCTCGCATTCATCGACAGGGGCTTCTACATCCTCCAAGAGTGCGAACGGGTCGTCAACTGTGCACTTGCGAACACGTTTTCCGACGTACGAAGAGAAAGAAGCGGTGGATCAACAACGCACTGCTGTTCAAGAAGAACTCGGCACTATGCCAGCTACGGAGTGGAAATTTCAGGCAATACAGCGTGACCAGGCCAGGCCATTCAACGGGCAGGCGAGAAAGATTGACTGCGTTTTAAAAAGGCTAAAAAGAGATCCTTCGAGAAGACGGAAAGGCGGCAAAGAAAAGTGCCAAAGAAGACCTCCAGTTATGCTGCAGGGTTGTTTTAAATTTCCATGCGCCCAAAAATTCAAATGTCGTTTTTTCAAAATGACTTTTTCGGCTAGTAAGGCTGCTTGTTCTACCATATCTGGAAAACCACTTATTCTATTTTCATAGATTTTTTTTTTGTTATGTACATAAATAAATTACTGAGGGGGAGACAAGCCTATTTTTTTAATATAGTGTATCTGTTATTTATGATACCTAATCAACACTTGATTAATACCCGAATCATCAACACCAAATTTGATGGTCTGCTAAAGCTTTTCAGTAAGAAATAAAAAAAAAGAGCTCTGTTACCCCCTGAGGTATCAATCTGAGAGTCATCATTGTCCATTTCACAGTTCAAGCATCTTTTGAAAGTTGATGATATGTGGGGGTGTAACGTCCGAAAACCACCATATGATTATGAGAGACGCCGTAGTGGAGGGCTCCGAAAATTTTGAACACCTGAAGTTCTTTAATGTGCGCCCAAATCTGAGCACACAGGCCTACAGCATTTCCACCTCAATCGGAAATGCTATAACCACAGTCCCGCGACCTGCGGGTCAATGCAATCCCGCGACCTGGGGGTCAGCAGCCACTAGACCACTGCGGCGGGGATGTTTCGAAAGTCCTCCAGGCCTGGAATAAAGAACCATGAGCACTATTCTGACATATGCTTTATCTAGAGAACCAGTGGACATAACTTGATGAAATTTAGTAGTAGTTCTAATG